TCCCTTTCTTCTCAGAAGATCTCCAGGCAAAACTGATTTGCATAGGCTGCCAACTGGTACCTCACAGAGAGAGCCTGGAGCCCGAGGCTGCTGGAGATGCCACCACCTTCCCAGCTCTACGGGGAGGAGGGAGATGAGTACTTAAAAGAGAACTAACTGTGGGGGCTTTGGGGGAGCCTGGGAAGAGGCCTACAGACTGCTCTGCAAAGCCAGAAGGAGAATACAAACGTCCATGTCCTTGGAGAGAGAGAAACATCTAATAAGAATAAACAGCTATGCACAGAAACCCTGCTTGCTACCTGGCTCCCAAATGGGATTTCAGTGGCAAGATGCCCAACATAGAAACTAATTTATCTGGAGCCCAACTTGAAGCAGAGGTGATAACTGCCTGCCTCACCAGTGCAGAGTGTGGAACCAGCCCTACTCACTGAAACCCAGCGACGGGTTTGCTGATGGCCAGCAGGCTCTGCCAGCCCCAGAGGAGGGGAGCCTCATTGTGATCACCTTGCTTCCTCCAAGGCTTCTCCTTCTCCATCATTCCTCTTTAGACCCCCTTGTTTGATAAGCTGGCAGCTGGTAAGACCAGTCCCTTTGGGGCTAATGTTTCCTGAGAAGTCAGAGGGAGAGTATAAAAGAGAGCACTGCGCAGAGGGCTTGAAAGGACAGAGGGTGAAAAAGAGTTAGGGATTTCCCCCTTCATTTCAAAAGAATCGTGCCCTCCTGGTCTTGGGTCCCAGAGGTCAAGCTGAGGAGAGAGGGAGAGTGGGCTCTCTTCTGTATCTCAGGATGTGAAGAGCCGGATGAGGAGGGGGGATGACTCATGGCCGCATATGACCTGCGGGTGTCCCCTCCCAATCAGCAGCCCAGCAGCCTCCCAGGACATGTTCACATTAAACAAGAAAGATCTTGTAGTAACCTACAATGAGAAAGGATATGAAAGTGAATACGCGTATGTATATGATTGACTGAAACATTAGGAAATTGACACAACATTGTAAACTGACTGTACGTTAATAAATAATTAAAAAAAGAAGTTAAAATTGTCTATTGAGTGATCAAAATACAAGGGTAAGACAGCAAATAAACAATATTTGAGAAAAAGAAAAAAAAGAAAGAGAATCTGGCTTCCCAAAAGGAAGTCATCCTGTAGCAGAGCTGGAAGGGGTGGATGTGACGATCCTGGGGCCTGGGAAGGGGAGGCGGGGACAGCAAAAGCCAAAAGCCCAGAGTGAGAAACACAGTGGAATATGGCAGCTCCTTTGTTGTTAAGTTTCAGGATTTTTTATACTTAGGCAGCCTAGGACATCTAGCTATTAAGGGAGAAGGGCTCAGAGGGTGTGGAGAAGGGAAAACTGGGGTGGTACTGATGGTATTGGCCCGGCTGGGGGACCGGGCTGTAAGGACTGAGTTTATAGGGCCTTCATCTGGTCCTTTCTTGGCTCCTGGATGTAAACAACAGGGTCTCCCTTTCTCCCGGACCTCTTCTTGGTTATATTACTACATTTATTCCTAGGTCAGGTGTACCCTTCACTTGGTGTCCCCATACAGACATACCCCAAACTCTGGGGATTCTGGCTTCCTGAGGTCAGGTGAAAAGAACAGATGTGAGAAGCTGTCAGTCACACCGATGGGAGGGACCAACTGGGGACGGCAGGGAGATCCAGAGCACACCTCGGTTTCAGTTTAGTATTCCCGCCTCCTCCCAGCACAAACCTGGGACCCCTAGAAGTTACCGAAGGTATCTGCCCACTAGGAGGGCACACTGACCCACGGGCTTTCTGGTTAGAGCCCCTGGATTTGCATTCTGGCTCCACCTTGTATTTTGTGATCTTGAGAATGTCATGTGACTTCCCTGAACCTCAGTTTCTGAGATGTAGAAACAGTAATGACCTTGACAAGAGTAAATGAGATGCTGCGAGGGCCCAGCACAGTGCCTGAGCAGATGGACAGCTCAGTAAATAACAGTCATCCTTATTGTTTTAATTGCTGTTATCATTGTGCAAAGTGAACTTTCTTAAAGCAGATTTTCAAGGAAGCCGGTCCCCCAGCACCTCCCAGTTCCCAGTGAACTCAAGGATGTGGGTGTGCACACAGTTTGCCATGTTAGTTTAACCCTGAGGGGCTAGGGCCCCAGCGCATCCTGGGGGCGGACCTCTGTTTTGGACAATCTGGTGACTCTAATGCCTCTGTCTTATGCCCCTGGGTCCAAACCAGCTTTTTTTTATTACAGACTGAGAGATTAACTACCAGGACATACCCTGGTCAAAGTTTTCTCAATACTTTGAGTGAGAGATTAAAAATGATGTTACCAGCACTTCTGACTAGGTTCTGCCAGTCACTGCTCCGCATGGCTGCATCTGTCCTCTTCCTCTTCCTCTTCCTGCCCTCTCTTTGCTGATCTGGACTCAGCTCGGTGTTCTTGTCACAAGGTCATCGCCCAGGTGAGCTCAGCTCAGCGTGAAACAAAACAGCTCGTCTGAAGGCACCACACCCCCGTTCAGAGAGGGAGACAGCCCTCCTCAGTCTCCCGTCCTCTGACCAGTGGGCTCTTTTGGTCCACTCTTGCAAGAGCCAGGCAGAAAGGCTTTGTTTTGTTTCATTCTGTTTTGGTTTTTTCTTTTATTTCTTTATTTTCTTTAATAGACTTTATTCTTTTATAGCAGTTTCAGGTTCACAGCAGAACTGAGCAGAAAATACAGAGAGTTTGCACACAGCCCTCCCCACCCACGCATATATACTCCCCTACCCTCAACATCCCCTATCAGTGCCGCACATTTGGTACAATCGATGAACCAACATGGGCACATTATTATCAACCAAAGTCCATAGTTTACATTGGGGCTCACTCTTGATGTTGCACATTCTATGGGCTTTGACAAATGCATAACGACATGTAGCCACCACTATAGTATCCTACAGAATAATTTCATTGCCCTAAAAATCCCTTGTGCTCCATCTATTCATTCCTCCCTCCCTCTCCCCAAACCCCTGGAAACCACGATCTTTTTTTGTCAGAAAGGCTTTTTTTTTCATTTTTTAAATTTTTTTTTTTTTACATTTAAGAATAGTCAGTTTACAATGCTATGTTAATTTCTGGTGTACAGCATAGTGATTCAATTATACATATACACATATATATTCCTTTTCCTACTCTTTTTCATTATAGGCCAATACCAGATATTGAATATAGTTCCCTGGGCTATAGTACAGTAGGACCTTGGTTTTCAAGTTCATTTTATATAATAGTATCTACAAATCCTGAACTCCCAATTTGTTGTTGTTGTTTTGGTTGCCAAGGGGGCGAGGGGTGGGAAGGGACAGACTGGGATTTCAAAATGCAGAATAGATAAACAAGATTATACTGTATAGCACAGGGAAATATATACGAGATCTTATGGTAGCTCATAGAGAAAAAAGTGTGACAAAGAATATGTATATGTTCATGTATAACTGAAAAATTGTGCTCTACGCTGGAATTTGACACAACACTGTAAAATGATTATAAATCAATAAAAAGTGTTTAAAAAAATAGCTTGCAAAACCCTATAATAAAAAAGAATTTGAAAAAGAATGTATATATATGTATAACCAAATCACTATGCTGTACATCAGAAACTAAGACAACATCGTAATCAAGTATACTTCAATAAAAGAAAGACTTTTTAATCAAAGCTCTTGGGGCCCTCAGACAGGGACCAGAAGCTGCGCCTAATTCTTTGGGAGCCAGGGGGTCTGCACACACTCCCTCAGAGCACTGTCTGGGGGTGGACCACTCAGCTTTAAAAGACGTCTGAGCACCATTTGTTTTTAAAAGGCTGGGATGTTTGTTATTTTCTGGGCTTCAGTTTTAGATCCGTTTGGGTGTTCTCCAGAGGAGAGCCACGCCGGTTTGGCATTCAACCGTCCTCTGCCCCACGCCCTCCTCCCTGCTCCCAAGCATCTTGAATCCCTGCTGCACCAGCTGTGAGTTTGTGCGTCTGAGGCGTTGTCGTGTTCCTGGGCCACGGGGCGTATTTGATAAACACACGGTCAGTTTACACAGCCTGGGATCTTAGGGGCTTTCCTCTCCGTGGGAAACAGCTGTGAGGGACTCGACCAACCTCTGCTTGTGGAGAGTGAGACGTCGCCTCTGATCGTGCATGTGGGGCAGGTGCGCTGGCTGGATTCCTGCTGACATGCCCGAGGATTCTCCCAGAAACACTGAGAGGGGCAGGGCGCTCATTATGCTTGCCTCCCTGGCTTCCAGTTCCGTTGCTCAGCAGTGATTTTGCATACGAAACCTCATGCCGTCTGCCAGTGGCATTTTCCATCATCTCACTGCTGTGGGCCTCTGAGGTCACAGCATCACGGACTCACAAAGCTGGAAGGGACTTCAAGAAAGTCATCCACCCCACAAACTAGATGAGCACTTCCTGGGTACAAAGCACCGTACCAGATTCTGTGGGTAAAGGAAGGGGAACAAGACCAAGTTCCTGCCTTCCTAGGAGCAACAGACGTCTGCCTCTGCCGTCACCTCCACGAAGCCTTCCAGGACCGGCAGGCTCAGACTGCCTTCCTTTGTGGTCCCTCTGCTGACCACTGACATGTACCTGCCACGCTGCAGTGAAACACTCTTTCTGACTCTTCCCTTCCCATAGAACGTGCGCTTCCAGAGGGCAGGACCAGCCATGCAGGGTGACACGGAGAGACCTGCAGCTCATGTCATACACAGGTTGTTATAAAAAGGAAATAAGTTAAGAGGAGAAAGGTTTTATTCATCAGCCACCAGTCATGCTGGCAATTTGGCCAACCACCAAAACAAGATGAGGTTGGTGGCTGCCTGGAGAAGAAAGAGCTGGAGAAGCCAGTGAGACCAGCCACCTGGAGAGCCCGAGAAGCAGCTGGCCAGGATGGGGACATCTGATCCACTGCTGTCTTGGCCTTTCTGCAAACCTCTGCTAAGTCTGGAGGAAGTCATATTCGCTTGACAGGGCTCCCATAACAAAGTACCCCAGACGGAGTGGTTTAAACAACAGAAATTTATTTTCTCACTCTTCTGGAGTCTGGAAGTTGAAGATCAAGGTGTCTGTAGAGTCAGTTTCTCCTGAGGGCCTCTGTCCTCGGCTTGCAGATGGACTGCCTTCTCCTCACCTCTTCTTATAAGAACACCAGAGTGAAGCAAGCTGAAAGAGAAAAGAAAATACCATATGATATTGCTTATATGTGGAATCTAAAAAAAAAAAGACGCAAATGGACTTACTTACAAAACAGAAACAGACTCACAGACATAGGAAACAAACTTGTGGTTCCCAGTGGGGAGAGGAAGTGGGAAGGGGTAAATAGGGAGTTCCAGATTTGCAGATAGCACTGTATATTAAATAGACAAACAAGTTTCTTCTGTGTAGCACACGGAATTGTTTTCAATATCTTGCAGCAACCCGTAATGAAAAAGAATATGAAAATGAATCTATGTCTGTATATGTATGACTGAAAAATTATGCTGTACACCAGAAACTGACACAACACTGCAAACTGACTATACTTAAAAAAAAAAAAGCCACCAGTCATACTGGATTAGGGTCCACCTGTATGACCTCATTTTATCTTAATTACCATTTTTTAAGAGTCTCTTTCCAAATATAGTCATTTTCTGAGGCACTGGGGTTAGGAATTCAGCATATAAATTTGGGTGGGTAAGGGGGACACAACTCGGCCCATAACAGAGGTCAACTCTGATGTTCACAGAAGTGTCAGAAAGTTCCTGATAAAAGTCACAGCCAGTCAATCCGAGAGCCAAGAAACAGGCCTGTGACCACCTCCTTTCTTGGCTTCTTTACAAACCTGGAGATTCAAAGTCTCAACCAGTACCAGTGACCAGACATAACCCGATTTTGCCACCCCCATCTCCTATACGTGCCCCCTCAGCCCTTCCCTCCCCACAGAACTGATCCTACCTGAGGTTTCTGGGTTTGAGCCAAGGGCAAGAGAGTGGGGTCAACGTGGAAAAAAGAAAGAAACATCGCTCCCTTAGGACTTGGATGAGAATTGACATCAATGGAGGCCATTTCTTAGGAGGCCCACTGGCTCGCTTCTGAAACTCATAAGCAGAAGGTAGGAAAAGGTCCAAACACCCTGGCTGGATGGAGGAGCGCCAAGCCACCCACAGGCACCAGCACTGGATTGCTGACTGCCAGCCAGAGCCATGCGCTGCTAGACAGGAACCAAGACGGAGCAAAGAGAGCCCTGGCAGCAGGGTGGCCGCCCCACTCCCCCGACACGGCCCTTGCCGTTGGCTTGGGCGGGGTCATGAGTCTTAAGCAGCCTCAGTTCCCAGGGTTCTTCACTGTTGGGAGCCAGTTGGCTAAATGTCATATTGGAAAAGATTACAGGATGTGAGCTTCCCAATGAACTGACTCATTGCGACCAGACTTGGCTTAGCTTGGCTGCACAAGGCCAAGACAGCAGTGGGGGGGCTGCTGACTCAGTGCGGGGGGCCCAAGGACAGGCAGGTGAGGGAGTGGTGGCGGTGACACATGCTCCCTGTGGACAACCGGAGGGGCCTAGAGACACTCCGAGCTCAGCCAGGGGGCTGCAGGCCAGTCCTCTGGGGGAAGGAGGCTCACAGGCTAGCTTCTCAGCTGCCCCTGAGCCAGGTCGCAAGGCTCAGAGTCCTGGAGGACTTGCAGACACCAAGTCTGGGAGACAGTCAAGCTTCTTCCGAAGTCATCCCAAGCAGTTCCGATGACCTGCATCTCAGTCTCATGCTGAAGTTGCATCTGTGGCAGGGTGGACCACGCTCAGAAGCCCAGCTCTGGAGATATAACTCGGGAGATAACAGCCGACAGCCTTTCCTGGACCAGGTAGCATTGTGCACTTTGCCTGGAGAAAGCCACGTTTTTCACACAAAGATTCTAAAGCAAAGATCAGGGAGAAAGGAGGCAGTGGGCATGGTAAGAAATGGACCCTTCCTTGGCAGACAGATCTCTCTGGGAGAGAGAAAACAGGAGAGAGACTCATAAGAGCTAAGCCTCAAAAATCACAGGCGCTACATGTAAACTATTCCGCTTAGCCATGGTCCTCCCCTTCGATGGGTAAGAACACGCAAAAGCATCCACACGCTCTAAGACAGGAGTCTGTCTGCTGGAAGGTGAGAGGGATTCCCCTGGCAACCTGGTGACCCCCTTCAGTCACTCATCCGGCACATCTTTTTTGAGGATTCAGTTTGTGCCAGGCATTGTGTTAGGTGGCAAACAAGATCAACTCATAGGTCCTACCCTCATGAAGCTTAAATTCTAGCAGAGGGAAAGAAAATAATCAACCACACAATTGAAAGTCTTTCTGATGGTGGCAAAGGCTCCCAAGGGCTTTGCGAATGTCGGACAGGACCTAGTCTGGGAGGGCTGGGAGGGCGTCCTTGGAAGTGGCACCTAGGCGTCGCTCTGCAGGATGAGTGGGCAGTACCGAGATGGGGATAGCGGAGAGCACATCGGGAAATAGGAGCAACACATGCAAAAGCCTTGAGGTTGGACAGAGCATGACGGAATCAAGAAACCAAGAGCTCTTGAGTGGTTGGGGTCCAGAGAATGAGGCAAGATGGGTCTGAAGAGCATCTTTCTCCAAAAGGTATATCACATGGGGCCTTGTAGACTTTCTGGAAGGTTTTGATCTTTATCTACGAGCAGTGGGGAGCCATAGAAGAGCTCAGGGCAGAAAGAGGTGATACAATTAGCCCTGCCGACCTGAGCGCTCAGCCCGCACCTCTTCCCTAACGCTGCCTAGATGCAGACGGGGACACTCGACCTTGTGTTTGGGTCCATCATGATCTGAAAACTCTAATCTGGACAATTCAAGAGGGATACTCTGCTTCTAGTGAGCAGAGCTAGCCAACCGACTTGCAAACAAAGTTCAGATTTGCACTTGTGTGTGCAGAAGGGCAGAATGTCCCCGGGGGCTCCCACCTGGGCCACACATTAAATGCTACTTGGTCTAGACCATGCAGGGGGTCTAGACCACCCAGTTCGCAGGAAAGAGAAAGTGAAGCTGGCTTGGCCAGCAATGCCACACACTGAGGTCAATAAACAGCGGAGACATTGGTACATTACAGTGATTTTTGTGGTCCCATTGAGACCAGGCACCGGGGACTTTGCAGGGCACAGAAGCTGTCAAAGTGGGGAGTCAGCCTCTCTTCCTCTCTGAAACTCTATGGTTCCTTGCAAATTCCATCAGAAACAGGAAGGTGGTTCCCGCTCCGTTCACCCGAAGAGAACCACTAATCCCTCGGTCTGGTAGGATTCTCCAAAGATGCTCAGGCCAGGTGGTCTTTTCTCTGACCCCAAGGAAGAAGGAGGCAGGGAAGGCCCTTCTGGACCCAGAGACCTTCAGTAAGGAGTCCAGCAAGTCCCTCCGCCACCTCTGAGCCAGCTGCCCTGCCTGGCACCTCCATCTCAATCTCAACACGAAGGCACAACGAATTTGTCTCAGAAGTCACCAGTAAGGGTGGAGAGCTTCTGGACAAGACCACTCTTCCCACCTGCCCAGGAGAAATGGCTCTGGGCTCAGAGCCTCTCACATCTCACAGCCTCATCTCACACGTACACCGGACTGATGCATGCAAACCTAATGTCCTGTCCTCAGCTTCCCAGGGCCTCACTCAGCGTGAAACAGATGGAGAAGTGACCGGCAGTGCTCCTGAGAAAAGGAAAACACAAGTCCCATTTGAGCCTAAGACCTTCGGCAGGAGACAGATGTGCAGGCTGCTCACTCACCCCACCACCACGAGAGTCCTGGGACACACATGCGCACATGTGTCCATCCCCCTAAATGCTCACATGGCCACCACAAGGCCTGGAATGGAAGGGTGTCTCCCTCCACCTTCATCACTTCCCGGTCTGAGTGCACGAGAAGACAGTCCGCCTGAATCAAGAAGGACCACTTGGAAACTTTCTCTCTTAGAGCCTTTCTGCCTTTGGGTACAGCAGACGTGCCAGGGCCAGGGCAGGTTCCCTCCCCGAGGGCTGCTCAGGGGACAGGGGCACAAGGTCCCCCCGCAGACACACTCAGTAACTCCAGGTTCCACACTGGTACCCCACCCCCACCCCCACAGCCAGTCCCCGCGGGCAGCCCTGCACGAGGCGGGGAGGGCAATCCTAATAGGTGGGGGCCGTAGCAGCTTCTGTCTTAGTGAGGCCACCCCCTCTGTCCCTTCCCCCCAACTAAGACTCCCCAAGTCAAGACGTTTGTTCATTTTCTTTGCGTGCATCCTTCCAAACCCTGGGTACCAGGCACAGTGGATTTCCGCTTCTTTTCTGGCTGAGGCTCCTGCAGCCTTGACTCCTGACATCGCTACTCTTCAGCACCCAAAGAGAGCCCCCATTCGCCACTCCGGGAGCCCCTTCTCAGGCCCCTAGACAGACCCTCAGCCCCGCGCAGCGAGCAGGCACCACGGTGACAGAGCTCCCCCTGCTGGCCGCTCGCCATGGTGGCAGGCCCAGGAAGGCTTGTGGGCTGAGTCCGCCTCCGCCCCCCCGCCCCCGCCCCCGTCAACATTCTGTGAAATTAAGTTCCGCCCCCTCAATCCACCGCTCACAAATCGGGGCAGCTTTATCCAGGAGATCTTGAGAAGCAAAGGCCTTTATATCAGCACCGGGACTCCCCAGACAGCACATCACTTCAAGCAGAACTTGAAATGACACCCAGGACAGGCCCTTAACCCTGCACTGAGCTAGACTGACAGGATGTGTTCCAGGGTCCTCTCCGCACCAAGCTCAAAGAACCATGGATGCCAGGCGATTCGGGCCAGTTAAGTGCCCACGCTGCCTGCCTGCCACCCAGAGAGCTGGCCGACCCCTCCCCAAAGGAATTCTTAGACACTTTGCCCACCTCTCACGCCACAGGCAGCTAAACACAAGCCTACAGATTCCAAGGGACTTGCTGATGTCCTTGAAATGAGTAATAACCTGTTAGATTATCTGGCTTGGAGCCTCTTAGGAGATGCTCTGACTCCAAGGAAGAAGGATGCAGGGAAGTTCCTTCTGGACCCAGAGACCTTCAGTAAGGAGTCCGGCAAGTCCCTCCCCACCTCTGAGCCAGCTGCCCTCCCTGGCACCCCAGTCTCAATCTCAGTCTCAATCGCAATGTGACAGCACAAAGAATTTGTCTCAGAAGTCACCGGTAAGGGTGGAGAGGTTCTGGACAAGCACCGTGACATTCATTATCTCATTTAATCCTCAACAACTCCACTGCAATGCCCCATAAAGCAGACGTCACCATCAGCTGGGGACGGGGGAGATGAGGTAACGTGCTTGGGTGAAAGCTCAGCTCATCCTACAAGCTGAGGACCCTAAGGAGGAGGGATCCCGGGAACCAGGAAGCTTCTGAGGCCACATCTCCTCTCAGGATCCCCCCAGAAGAAAAGAGAGCCAGACCTCTCCCTCCCCAGGCACTGAGTTCACCTTAGGGACCCTCCCCAGGTCTTCACAGTCTTGCAACCACCCACACTAGTAGGTCAAAGGTTTAATGGAGAAGCAAAATAAGCAAAGGGAATTAGCAAAGGCTCATAGACTTGAGCACCTCTCCTGTCCTGACCATCACCATGAAATGCAGCTTCAGGAAGGTCTAGGCGAGCAGGCAGCTGGGGGAAGGTTGGAGGCCCTTGTGGATTAAACTTCAGAGCATCTCCCATCCACAGCCCAAGTTTATACAGTCCAGCACCTTCAAAACTTGGCATGGGATTCACCTTGACATCACAAAGTGTAATTTGCTAGAAGACAACAACTGCTAATTTGATCACATTTATTAGAGTTAATTAATCAACCCAGCAGCAGCCGCATAAATGAATGCTAATTGGCCTCAGAGCCATTCATCATCATTAAAGCTGTAAAACTGTGTGGTTACTAATCCACCAGACTTGCAGATAAAAGACTTGCCAGTCACTTAGGTATTCATTTATTGACTTAATAACATTTACCTAGTATCTTTCAGAGGAATACACTCTATCAGGGACTTCAAAATATGAATTTAAAAGATCCCTGTCCTCAAGTGACTCAAACCTGAATAGAGCTAGATGTAGGAAGTCCTCGAATAAAGGGAAACTATGCCAAGTGCCATGGGAGGGTACAGACTGCCATGGCAGTTCAGAGGAGGGTAGTCATATCTCTCTGGGGAATCACAGAGGGCTTCATGGAGGAGGCAGGATTTGGGCTGGACCTTGAAAAATGGGTAGGAGTAGAACAGACCTGGTGGGGCATGAATTCCAGGGAGAATGTGTGCAACGGCAGAGGCGGGGGAAATGAAGGGTGGTTTTGGGAAGCAGGGAGACTCCAGGTAGGCAGCAGCAGCATTTGTGTGCAGGAAGTAGTTCACAAGCATTGCTCAGGCCCTGCGGCACGTCAGGCCCTATGTGCTAAATGCAAGCCCCACGCCGATCACAGGGACACACCAGTAAACAAAACACTCAACGTCCCTGACCTCACGGAGCTGACAGCCTTCCAATGATAAGGCCGAAAAGGAAGATTGGAGAACCCCCAACTCTGCCCTTCTAAGTAGTTTGAGGATCTGGGGGTTGGTACTGGAGAGTTGGTGACAGTTTTTAATGCCGAAAGAGTATGATTGGAGACTTTGAGAGACTGATCTGGCCCCAGAGGATAAGGCAAATTTATGAAGAAAGTGGAAAAAAATTGGAAGTCCAGTTGGGCAGCTATTGCAGTAACCTAGATGACCGATGAAGACCAAAACCAGGGCGATAAGTAGGGAGGAAGACAAAGGGTTGAGGAGAAGAGAGATTTCCCAAGTAGACAGCACCAATTTGGGAATCAGATGGATGTAGAAGGCAGGGCAAGGAAGGCCTCAAACTCGTCTGGGGTCTCGAGCCTGGGTGACTTAGGGAATTATCCAAAACCAGGGAGTCGAGAGGAATACACTGGATGGGAAAGAAGGTGCTAAGTTATAGCAAGGTTTGCCCAGTGTCTTACCCACCAAGAAGGCAAGAGGTGTTCCATCTGAAGAGAGAGCAGAAGAGCCAAGAAGCCATGAAGAGAGGGCCAGTGGGAAGGGAAAGTAAATTGCTAACTAGTGAAGGAGGGCTGGCTGGGGCACATCTCCTCCAGACCCTAGCACCTTCTCTTCTCTCTTGATGTTTCCAAAGCTCTTTAGAAAGACACCTTCTCTTCCAAAAACCACAACTTCTTCCCCCGGAGACCACACAATAGAAAATCCAAAAGAAACATGTGTGGCAAATGAAGTGGGGACCTCAAAGAGGATTTGGATGCTAGTGGTGGTGAATGGACAAAGGGTCTCCACCTCCAAGGTCCTTTGTGGTTTTTCTTGGTTCCTCCCCTGACAGTGATTCTCCCTCCAGACTCCAGAGACCCTAACTCCTGGTCCAGAGATCCTGACCCATCATCCCCAGAGCCCAGGGTGGCCCAGATTCCAGATGATGGTCACCACTGGCATCAGAAAGACCAGATCAGAAGTCACCCTCCTGGACAGCATCCGGGGCCTCTTACCTGCCCCCAGCATCATGCTCCATCAGAAGCAGGCAGGCCCAGACAGGTCTGGCACGGCAGCTCCCAGGCTGGGGTGGGAAAGTTGACATCTCCTCAGAGTTTACTCAAAATGCATGTGCCCTGACAGAGAATGTGACAGGGAGTCACAAGGACTCGGGAGGGGGTGGGAGGGGCACAACCAGGACATTTCTCAGGCTTGCAGTGGCCAAATGCAAACACCTCCACCTTGCAATCGCACCACCAAAGTCTCAAAAACAGAATGAAAATCAATTTCCTGCAAAGTAGTTGGTTTCCAGAGGGTGGCTTTAGCTCAGTGGTACATGAACAAGGTCCCGGCTTTAATCCCCAGTACATCCATTTTAAAAATTAAAAAAAAAGGAGTTGGTTTCCTTGGAGACCTGGAATTCCCTCAGTGGCAGAGTTTCTTCATAAATGGGTAAGAAAAGTCACAGCTGCCTCCATTTTTTAAATTGGAACATCTGTGTTCCCTCAGAATGCCATTAAACAAACCCCAGCAAAGTGGAGCTATTCAATTGAAAAATAATTATTAAATGATCAGTTACTCTATTCATCTCTAGCCCTGGAGATTAGAGGAGAAGTAAGATCCATTCACAAAAGGATTCTCCTCTTTCTGGAGAAAGCCAGCCACATCACAGATGTCTCTGGGCTATGAAATTGAGCAGGACCCTCCCGGAGTGACTGAGAGAGGTGGTCCACGCCGGCAAGGAGAACCACCACCCTTCACCAGCGTTGCCAATAACCCGGACACCAGCTCGCAGCTCTCAGAGAGCCGCTCTTATCTCACCAGGCAATACACGGCGAACTCCACATAAAAGAGCAGAAGAATAAAAAAGGATTTTTTTCTAATAAATATTCTTTTGCTGCTAATCCTCCCTTTGTAACTGTCAGGCTTTGTGGGGCTGGCAGTGAGCCCATCAGATAACAGTGCAGCTGTGACCTGGGAAACGTGAGAAATGGAACAGATTAATAAAGATGAAAAACATGTTTGGTAACTGTGTCTGAGGGGAGGTCCAAGGGGAGTCCTCACAGGGGTATCTTGGCAGCCCCAGAACCCCAAAACCAATGCCACCCAGAAGTTGAGGCTACCCCACAGACATAGAGGTCAGGTGTGTGGGTCTGAAAGCAGGCAGCTGATTTTTTTTTTTTTTAGCTTTCTGTGCAGGTATTTGCCCCCTGAGTCAGCTTAATGGAAAATGCAAACAGCGTAACTGAGGCGACCCACCACAAGACACATGCGTTTGGTGCCCCCCACCCCTACGCCAGCATCAGGCTGAGGACGCACGCAGCTCTTCACGGAGGCAGCCCAGGGCAGTAGCGTGCTCCTCTCCTGATCTCCGACAAGCCCCCATCTGAAGATGAAGCTGTAGGAAGGGGGATTTGACCAATGGCTATGCTGTCCCGACAAATGCATGGATTAAATGGAGCCATTGGGACAGAACACTTCCGAGTTAGGACTGCCCTGAGAACTCTGGGTTTTGTATGAATGACAGAGTACAGACTAGAAATACTGGTCTTCTAAGCTAAGTGACATGCCAAGGACTGTTACGTACATGGAAGGGGAAGACGGTGAAGGGACAGAGTCCACATTACACCGCTGCCCCTTTCTCCAGTTTCCCTTCCCCCCGACCAGCCCCCAGCATTTCTCCGGACCCCACTACGTGGTTCCGCTGCTTTTCCGTGCATCCCCATCCTGTGAGCCCCACTGACCACAGAGTTTTGCGGAGCCTCCAGCCAGACATCCCCCTTCTCTTTTCAGGAGAAACTGAGACTGCAGATTTGGTCCATAATCACCACGTGGGGACGGCAGACCAGTGGGGAGACCTGGGACCATAGTCAGTCACTATCAGTGCTGTTTATTATCCAATTAAACTTTGGCCTAGAGGTCCAGAGGCCGGAGACACACATTCCAACACAAGACCCT